AAAATTCTGTTTTCACTTTGTCATTATGGGGTACTGAGTGTAGATTAATGAGAAAAAAATGAATTTGAAAAAGTGAAGGGGGTCTGAATACTTTCTGAACACATTGTATATTTAAACTACAAATTGGTTGGAATTTTAAACTAATAGCTGGGGTGTACATTTATTATTTCTATGTGTTTTTCTCCAAACTCACAAATAATGGACTACTCTGTGCATGAGAACTTAACAGACAGAAGCCCCTATAAACCCAAATAAAGGAACTGGTTGGAATTTCTGGCAATCCAAACTTGATTCTACAAAACAAACTGGAAGCAGCTGATTTCATGTCTCAAATTCTTAGCAGTAAAGGTAGTATGTGTCACTGGTGTGGGTCCAACAACTGTCTGATCTTAAGCAAAGTGAATGAGCATAAATCCTAATTCCTTCCAGCTTCTATAGCATATATCTGCTTCCTAGGCCAAGAGATAGTGTCCACAGCACTGGGGGAAAAAGTGCCAAAGAACCAGCCTGTTACTCTTGCTAGAATACAAACAGGAGATTCCTATACAGGTAGTCTTCACTTATCCATCACAATAGAGACTGGCAACTCTGTCACTAAGTGGCATGGTTGTTAAGGGCAATGTCATATGACTGCACCAACTAACGACATCAGTTCCATCAATTCCAGATGTAGTCGTTAAGCAGATTACCGCACATCGTTAAGCACAATGTCATGTGACCACAACTTATGACTTCCTGCCAGCTTACTCATTGACTTTGCTTGTCAGAAGCTGGCTATTAAGGTCACAAATGGCGATCACGTAACCATGGCACACTGCAACTGACATACATGCGCACCGGCTGCCAAGTGCCCAAATCATGACGACATGACCGTGGGGACACTGCAATGGCCGCAACTTTGAGGACTGGTCATAAGTCTCTATTTTCAATGCTGTCGAAAGTTCAAACGGTTGCTGAACAAATGGCTGGTAAGCAAGGACTACCCATAGTGTTCTCTCCGTCTCAGAAACTGAAATGCGTGTTTTCTTCTGCTTTTTTATTCAAGACCAGAATGCTACCATATGATGAGCTGCTTCAGTATCTTTAAGAGCTATAAGAAACTCAAGATTATTTTCTTGCACACCATGAGCTTTTATCAATAATGCTCCTTTGTAAACACACTACAAACTTTACAAACAATTATTCCTACTAAAAAAAAAGCCTGTTACATTCTCTTTTCCCAGGGCAATATTGATTGGTTACCTCCCAAGGATGATAGCAAAAAGCTTCTGCACTGGCTTCAAGATCATCAGTAAGATTGGAGCTGGAGCAGCTTTCAGTATTGATGATCCATGAAAACATCTGAAGATCTGGATGTTCTGAATAGTAATGTCTTGTAATTTTTGAGACACAGTAGCTCCAAATAATACATCTTTTCTCCTTGCCTTTTGCTGAGTGAGAATACAAGGCCTTCTAAAATAGATGCATCTAGTTGTACATATTCCTATATCTTTAGGATTTGGAAGCCATCTGTGGGTTCTATTCATGTCATTTCCATAGATTCTGGAATTTTCATTCCCCAAATAAAATCTAATGCTGTTCTTTTTATTCCATGCTTGGCATTTTATCAGTTGATGCTGGGGTCCATTTAAAGCTTTACTGGAAAATGTATAAGGATTAATGCATTTTCCCCAATTAATTGAAGATGCCAGTTGAATTAAAATACAGTTCCTTGAGCCACCAAGGGAAGCCATCTCTCTGTCGTTATGTTCAGTTTCAATATCTAAATTAAGATAATCAAAAAATAAAGTTACAAAAGAGAGAATGAATTTGTAAGCATGTGATACAAAGAAGGAACACAAATCAATTAATTCATATAAGATTGAGAGACCTACCCTAAATGCTACAAGGATGTGATAAAAACTGCCTGGTTTGGACAGTGATTTCAGGAGTCATAAACCTCATTTATGAAGGCAGGAACAAACAATTCCTAGTTAATTTTTAACTAGTTTCCAAACCACAGTTAATGTTAGTTAACAAGCCAAATCTAGACTCTTTATAAATCAACCTTAAGCCAGAATTCCACCATTTGGAGACTCTGTTTAATATAAGGCTAGTAAACCAAAATCAAAACAAACTAGAGTCACTTGCTGAGATGGGCAGCCACACAAATTGAATGAATAAATAAATAAATAAATGAAACATTAACATGGTCCAGAAGAGGAAGTGTGAAAAAGAGAAGGACTAGTCCCAGGGCTCATTCCTAGGAACTAGCAGGTAAGCCTGGACAATATGCTTCATAGGGTTTTTCATCCACAGGGGTAGCTCTAGGTTAGATCATGTTAGGTACTGTTGTGGTCCAACACAATCTGGGATCCAAGAAGCAAAAAAAGGTCAAACCAGGAAACTCATGATGTTGGATCATCAGCTGATCTGAGTTAACTTTGAGTAACTTTCAACACAGCCATGAATAGACACCTGCTGGTGTGGCAGAACTGCTCTTTGTTATTCAACTCCACTCCAGCCCCCCACGCATGCACACACATCCAAAGCAGATTTTAAGAGCACAAAACAGCTAAAGGGAAAGGAGAATTGCATCCCTGCCCCTCCCTGGGATACAGTGGTGTGAAGTAACTGGATTTCAACCTCTGTCATTTTAGATTTTGTTCCATTATTTTACTACAGTATTTCAAAACTGCTAATCCCTTGGGAAAGGATATAAACACAATAAAAATGGCAACAGTTAAGAAATAAAGCAGAACTTAGGTAACAGGAAGCAAAACTGAAGAACTAGTGAAAGAGAAATTAGAGCAGAGGTTAAGGGAGGGAGAACATGGAGGGCAGCAAAGAGACAAATAAGTTACATGAGACAGAAAGAAAAAAAGACTAGGGATTTCAAGGAAGCGAGATAAAGACTTAATTTGATACCTTCTTTGAGTTCATATTTTGTGCTAAGCCTGAAATCATACAACTCAGTTGGTGTGGTTTTGATTCATCAATGAATCATGCCACTGCAGTTTTTGTAAAGTTTCTGCAATGAGTGAAGACAGACACAATAGATGGCTTAACAAATCATGGATAATGAAATTCTGGCTTAGTACAATAACCAGTTGAATTGGTCAGAGGAGCCTTAAACCAGTTGCTATGTAAGCTACAGTTTCTCCACTCCAACACTCATTTACCACCTACAGGAATGAGATATTTTACTTATCTTGCAACCCAACTGTAAGTACTGTATAATGTATATAGTATTCAGTGAATCCCTTACAATGATATTTATAAAGATCAATGAAATGCAGCAAGGCTGCATATAACTCAAAGAACACTCCCCCTTATTACCCAACTGTAAGTACTGTATAATGTATATAGTATTCAGTGAATCCCTTACAATGATATTTATAAAGATCAATGAAATGCAGCAAGGCTGCATATAACTCAAAGAACACTCCCCCTTATTAAAAGAAAGAAGGTAATATTCAAAGTGCACTTTGCAACCCAGACAAAAATGCTGAGAAACCTGGGAAAATATAGCCTGATGAAAGTGTCAAAAGGTGGTGGTGAAGGGTTAGCAGAGCAAGCAAATGACAATCAGTCATTGTCTAATCAAGTTGTTTTCATTTTTTCCCAAGAATGGGAAGAGTCTTTAGATGAATATATGGTTTTTTCCCCCCAAACTCCAGGCCAATACATTAACCCACGCATGAAACCAACTGGGAATTAAAAACAGGTATTCCTATCTTATTTCCATCTCCCTTCTCAATATTAAACATGAAGACGGGCATTCTAGACTACTGGGTGCAAGTACTTAAAACAGGGAGAAACTGTAATTAAAGGAATCACCCTGAACTTGTGCATCTGCATTTTCAGATTCCAAGCTGAGTGTGGAGAACAAACACCCACATATCCTCCAACACAGGTTATGCAACCAAAGAGTCAAGTCATGCACCTCCAAATTGTAGAGAGCGAATACACACATTCACTTGCCTTTCTGGTTCTTCAACTTTCGTGCAATCTGGTTCTTCAACTTTCTTGCAACGTGTGCACAAAAAATCTGCAGAATCTGTTTCTACATCAGGCTGAACTAATATTCTCTGGTTAAAAAAAGGTAGGAGGAATAACACATTTGGGAATCTGGTCCAATGGGTTAGCCTGCTTTGATCCAGTTCCCTCCAAGGGTGCTGACTATACCACCCACCATCCCCAACCAGCAACAGGAACTGCTGGGAATGATGGGGTGTGTAGTCCAACACATGCCAAGGGGCACTTCATTGGAAAAGGCTGCTTTATGGGGCACAGACACACAGAGGGGGAGGAAGCAAGAATTCGGGCCGCGCTTCGCGTTCATGCAGACTCAGCACCTACCACCAACGAGGGAATGAACCCGTCCGGCCGGGGAACGGCTGAGAGCAGACGCCCCAGGCGGGGTAGGAGGAGCCGAAAGTTTTACAGCTCTTCCTTCTCCAAGTTCTGGCTTCCCCGAAACCGAGAGAACTTGGACGCGGGCGAAGGGGCTCAGGGGGGCGAGAGGACAGGGGCTTGCGCTCGCCGGGTGGGATCTCCTTGCAACCCATCCGGGAAGAGCCGGCTTTCTAAGCGCCCAGGGGCCCCACCGGCCGCGCCCTCCGGCCGCCTGGTCCTGAGAGGGGCAGGACAAAGCCGGCTAGGCAGGCTTGACTCTGCCGTCCGTTCAAGGACTTTGGCTGCGCCCTAGGCCTAGGCCGCCCTTTCGCTTCCCTTCCGGGATTGAGGGCGGAGCGTCGCTTGTGGAACTTCGCTACGAGCAGCGCGGGGAAGGGCGCCTTGGCTCGCGCTCTTCTTCCGAGGGCAGTGGCGCGCGGTCGGAGGCCGCGGTGCCCAAGTGGCGCCCGTGAGGGGCGGCGGCAAAAGGGGGTGAGATTCCTCCTAGGCTACTTGGGCATGCCAGGGAACTGCCAAGGCCGGTCACTGCACCTCCTTGCTTGACTTAGTGCCAGGCAAGAGCTGCCTAGCCCTGGGAATGTCCATCATACCGACCTTCCTGCTATTCCAGTATTTTTATTTTATCCTTTTCTACAACAAAATGGTGGTGCTTTTTCCCCTCCTAAGCAACAAACAGCAAGGTAGCACAAGCAAACCTCTTTTTATTCTGGTAATAATAACTACGATTTAACTGAATTTTAATGGGAAAACTTTCCATCTTTCTCTTATCGCATTTATATTAAAACTGGGCATGCTACCTGCCCTTCAGAAGCAAGTTTTTCCAGAGTGGCTTATAATACATTTTTTGTGTGGCCCTAAGAGAAGGAATATATAAAAAGCTATCATAGCTTCCCCCCCCCCCAAATCTCTAGTCCATAGTTGAATAACCTTCCTTATTCAAATCAAAATGTCTTAAAAAGTGAGGAATTTGAGAAGAAAACTGTAGAAGCTCTAGTAGACAACAGGAGGAGAGAAATGTGTATCTAAGGAGACTGCTTTTTAAGATCAGTGTTTCCCTACTATATTGCTTTTTTAAACTTCCTGCCTCTACAAATGAAAATAGGCATCTAGGAAACAGTTTATTATGAGGCTAGGCAGCTCACAACAATCCATAAAAACATGGCTAAAAACAAGAGTACCCTTCCCCTCAGGTGCCAGACCAAATCCTCCCAGCTCAACGCCCATCCTAGCCTAATGCTTGGGGGGAAAGACAAGGACATGAACACCAGAAAATCCTGATTCAATGATCCAACCAATATTTAAATCAGTTTCCTGCTTCTAATGCATTTAAATAATGTTTTATTGTTAGCTTTTGTATTAGCATGGGAGGAAAGCTATGGCAAGCCTAGATAGCATATTAAAAAGCAGAGACGTCACCTTGCCGACAAAGATCCGCATAGTCAAAGCTATGGTTTTTCCAGTAGTAATGTATGGCTGTGAGAGCTGGACCATAAAGA